TTTACAAAATAAAATCCCAACTATAACGAAATTGGAAAAAAGCTCCACATCAGTTGTAGATCTTTTCTTTGCGAATTGAACGGTATATCTCTCATTGTTGTAGCTTCAAAACTCTAGGAGGAGATAGGTTTGCAGTGACAATAAATTAACTTTTCAGTAGGCTCCGACAAAGTCGCGCGCGCCTCGAAAAAGACATTCAAGGGTGCAAGGTTGCAAGACTAGATGATATTTGAGCTCAATTTCTGTCAAGGATGGTGTGAACCACGGCACAAGAACCATCCCATACGACTGCAGACGGATAACTTAAGCACAGCGTGTTCAGACTAGCTATTTAAGTGTGCTACCAGTAATTTCGGCCTATATTTAATGTTGAAGAACTCCACCACCCCTAACCCTTTCGCGTTCTGTCGTAAACGCATAAATCAACGTACAGAGATGGTTTTGGTACCGTTAGATGCATCAGAATGTAAGCTTTAAGATGAGTATAAAAACCGAAATAGTCAAAATTTTCGATTTTGGAGCAGACGCTCCCCTTAACTTAGCTACTAGGGCGTTGCGGTTGGCATAGGCCGTCATTGTACGATGAAAGCCTGTACTAGTAACACATACCGAGCTTTACTTCAATAATATGGTAAGTCTAGCCACTATGTTCGAGGCTGGATTACGTGAATTATGCTTTTACAATTAGTGTGTATATATGTATGTTTTATATTTCGTCATAAGGTGTTTAGATTTAATAAATTTTCCGAATTCGCCAGAAAACGTTGGCAAGTATCTCCACGCGTGTCAAATTATTTTACCCGAAGAAGATTCTCGTTACAAACTTCTTCACAAAGATGATAAAAAGACTTTTAGACAGATGATTACAGGCATTTCTGAAGAAATGTTTGAAGATCGTGGATATTGCATCAAAAGAATTATTTGAATATATAGATTCTCAAGGCTTTCAGCTTATCACAAGGGTTAATAAAGTCATGAAAAATATGTTAATGCCAATGATGGGTAAAGTGATTTCACTAAGAAGAGCTTTAATTGAGACTGTAATAGGCAAACTTAATTTTCTTAAAATTTAAATGTTTGTGTATTCATGACATAGGGCGGTAACTAATGCATTTTGCCACACGATGCAAATGCTAATATAATCAACTAATGCATGCTAATTTAATCAACAATCAGTTGCAAGACAATAAGCCATCTATAGCTAGTCTCATGCCTCAATGCCTAACAAATGCTCACTTTTAATTGGCAACTCGCATTATATAGCATTTTCTATATTTAAACTTTGAAAAGATTTAAAATTAGGTACTATGACGGAATAATGCCTGTAGTGAAAATTCTGTATGATCCTTAATTATCTCACAATGATTAATTTGTTTTTACGTACTCACTAGCCAATCTTATTGGTTATGAAGCAGATATGGTATCAAGTAACAAAGAATATTGGATAAATGTATCTGGGAAAGATCTCATTGTAAAAGAAGGTAAATGGGTAAGCTATTCTTATGAAAGCTAGCAAAAACAATTTCCTTATTTGAGTTACTATAAAATCGAAAAGATTTTCAAAATATTGAAAAATGTTGGATTCATAATATCTATACTAAAGCTAATGCTAGACTGAAAGATCAGACGAAGTGTTATACTATAGTTAAAGAAAAATAAAAATGTAAAAAATGTAGAAAAAATCCACAAAACAAGGTGCAAGTTCATTGACCGAAAATCAGCGAATCAATTCATTGAGACAATAATATTTTGTTTATAAAGCAAACGATTATACAACCGATACACCAAAATAACCTTAGTGTGAAGACGATGCTCTGAAATGAGTTGTGATCGTTTCCATCTTGTTACATATGATACTGCCCCTTATTGCAAGCGGCGAGGCAAACTAATGATGGATGACTAGGCTAGATTTTATGAAGCACACAAAACGAGCAAGATGTTACGATGCTTATGGTTATATTAGTGCAGCAATCTAGAGACTATCAATACCTTGATGTATTGTTAAATTGCCCACCAACGAGCGGATACACAGGTACACAATAACTGCAAGAAGCATCAAAGCAAGTAGACAAAACTTTGCTAGAGCCTAGTATTTGAAGCAGAACACAAATAGATCACTAAAAATGTATTTTTAAGTGAACGGATAATTTGCATTCATTAAGCAAAGAGACTTCGAGTAGTGAGCTTGCCAATGTCCTATATCGCACGATCGGCCATCAGATAGAGAGAAATTATTTCAAATCATTAAAGATAGGTTAACAAAAGAAGATTATTGTGCTCTTCTTCAAGCGATTGAAATAAAACATTCAATGCCTAGATTGTTAGATCTTGGATGAGGCGTTGATCAAGAAACAGTTCAAGCAACGTTTGAAGAGGCTGTAATATCTGGATATAAAAAGTTCTATTTTTACTATATAATCAATTTCCAGAGATTTCTTTGTCTTTCTGAAGAAAATATAGCATCTAATATAAACCCATTAGAGAATTTGATTGATAAGCTCCACTTCTATGATGCTGCCTTATTATAATAATGAGCTACCTTATAATGATAGTAATTATGATAAAGCTGCGATAAGAGATTTAATATTTTACTTTTAAAGCGAGGTAATCTGAGTGCGCTAGAGAGTCATTTGCTCTCAGATTTATTTTCTGGTATTGACACATCATCAGATGTCGAGCTTGTTGAATCTTTATTAAGCAACAATCATATGCTTCAAAACAAGATGATGTCAGAGAAGCACTAGACAGTTGACACTATAGGTGATTTTGAAGTAATTCCAGCTATGCAGCAAGTATATTGATACTACATGCACTGAAGAGGTAGACTAAATCTAATATTAATGATCTAAAATTCGTCTCAATATCTTTATAGACTATTGTATCGAAAATTCAAGAAGATGAGATGACAGATGTTCTTTATCACATTTCCAAAAACATTTATTAACGCAGTTTTTCTCGATATAAGATTATTATACTCATTGCAGATAGCTGATGGATCAACATGGTAAGAAGTGATCCGCAGTAAAATCAGGACTAGAATATGAAATTATAGTCTTGAAACAATAGAGTTTCAAAAATCCACTATTAGGCGAACATCGCTGAAAAGCAGAGCGAAGAAGATAAATTTCATAGAACGCAGGTGAATACATTTTGGAAAAAGCTTCAAAATGCTAAAGATAAAAAGTTTCTAAAATTAACACTTAAATCAGATGTGCCAAATGTAGATGATGTACATCTTGACGGTAAAAATATCTTTAATCTTTATTGTATTATGAATTTGTCTAAAAGCTCACTTAATAAAGATATAGCTTTGTTCAGAGCATTTTCAGGATATTGATATCCCGAAAATGCTTAGGTGAACCAAGCACGATTAAAATCAAGGATTAAAGGATATATTAATTACCTGTAGTGATAACCTTTCTGGTATGGCTGAAGCTACATATATCCCAAAACTGAGCATCAGCTTTGTATAGTTCATCAAGCTGAAATAGTGTGAAGAATGTATCATGTACTGACAGAAAATTATTGGCATCAGATTTAAAGCACATTTATAGCTCTGCTACAGAAGATGAAGCACATTTTGCACTAGAATATTTTGATGAAGGATGGAGTGAACCCTATACAAATAGAGCAAAAACCTGATATAATAATTGGGAGAGCCTGGTAATATTCCTGCAATATCCAGAGAATGTCCGTAGGATAATTTGCTCTACAAATGTAATTGAGTCAATTAATAGGTAAATTAGAAAAATTGAAGGAAACACAGGTGTATTTCTTGATGATAAGTCCATTCAAAAAATAGTCTTATCATGGACGAAAGCTTAAGAAAAGTGGAAAATTAACTATCAGACATTGAGCTGTTGCACAGAATCAGTTCGTCATACTTTGTGTTTCTAATATCTGAAATTGGCATAACTCTGGAATCGTTCTAGCACAATCTGTCAGACAAAATCACAGCTTTTATTGCTGAGACTATTCACCTATAAGTCTTCATATTTTCAAAGCTATTTACGCACCTATAGCCGCCATATCATCGGCAATACAAGAAGCTTGAAAAAAGTGTGATATTTCTTTAGAAAATGTTTCATAATGATAACAATTTCCATTATTTTCATTACATAAGGTTCCAACATACCGTATACCGTCGCTTGAGTGACCGTAAAATACGTATTCATTTGATACATCCGAGTCATAAACATAAACATCAACATCAAAAAAATATTCTATTTCTGTAATGGAAACGTTGCGGACGTTATGAAGTGTGAATGCAGATGGCATAACAACCGCAGTCCATGATGTCGGCAAACCTCCGCCTGTATTGTAAAACACACCACCTAGAGTCTCGGCTGAGTATTTTATATCATTTAAAAATGTTAAATCACTACTTGTAATATTCTGAAGCTGAGAATCTATACTAGCTTTTATGATGCGGCACTGATCTGGAAAAGTAAAACAGTCAGCCGCTCCTTCATGTGCTTGCATTAACAGACGTACATTGCTATCTGCTTTAGACAAAATTGACTGCGACTTGTTGATGAATGTAGCATCCAGTCCAACTGGGTATCCTTGATTAAAAAACGGGTAGAATTTTTGTTGGTAGTATTGATTTTCTTTTAATTTAGTGGACAGACTATCTCGATCTTGTATAACTTCCTGAGTAACTAGAGAGGGAGGAGCAACAAGTCCTATATACTTAATTGATGCGTACTGACTAAACGCAATACCAAGAGGCGTTAATCCTGTATTATTTTGAAAAGAAAACTGCATTGAAAAGCTTTCTTTTGCATAATCCAGTAAACCACTAGCAGCTAATACGCAATCATCCATCGTTGTAAGGCTACATGTCAGTGCATAGTACTTCCCGCTGCTATCTTTACTAAATATCTTAGAAAGCTGACTAGGGTCTCCTCCCACCTGAAAAGCTTGCATCATCACTGCACCAGTGATATTATATTGGGTTGCAACATTCTTTATTCTTTCTGAAGCGCTTATAATACTACCAAATGTAGCTCCAGCCTTTTCCTCAAACTCTTGTTTGGCAACGGAACTACTAAATTTTATGTTAATCCCCATAGCCAATAATGCACCCTGCTGATAAGAAGTAATATAGTTATCACCACATAACAATCCAAAATATGGATTCTTGCCACCATTGTAAAAATCTTTACCAACTTCAGTTAGAGCTGCTTCACCGTACCCTGCAAATTGCACTGCTACGTTATTCGTGGCATATTCATAATAATTTAGTGAGAGGGAGTAATCCTTATCCTGTGCAGATCTTAAATAACTTGCTCCTGCTTCTGCAGAAAACATAAGAAATTTTCCACTGATATCGACAGACATCTGAAGTTGGCTTTCTAAGTCTGAAAAAGATATTGCCGTATTCAATTGCACGTAAGCTTGCTGTCCAGCAGTAGATGACACAGTTGCGTTATAACATATATGCGGAGCTATCTGTTGCGAATCACTTGAATACCCAGCGCCCACAATAATATTACCACTATTGTATTGCACAACTTCTGGTCCTCCAGCCCAGCCTGGATCCCCGTCAAATCCAGAACCCCCATAAATCCGCCCGCCGTTACTTGCCTTACGTGGAGCTTCTGATGTATTGGCAATACCGGCATCAGTATGTATGCTAAAGGAGCGTGTCTTTGTAGCCATTATTTCTACTAAACCTTTGTAATACTCCAGCATGCGTTCAGCAACATTACGGAGATTAGAGCAAACTCGATCTAATATTCCAATTCCAACATTTTGATGCTTGAAAGGGCTTATTGTATCCTTTCCTTTCAAAAGTTTAAAGACGGGCTGGTTGTATCTGTTGGAATTTTTCGTTACCATTTGCGAGTTACTTCCGATGGAAGAAGTTTTCACCATACTTAATGGAAGAGTGTTTGCCGATGATGAAGACGGTCTTTGAATGACAGATCTCGGTGGACGAGCTGAAGAAGAAGAGCTGAGCCTCATGTGCACGCCTTGCATCGGAGGGTCGGAGGCCTGAGACGCCAGCCCAGGCATCACCACCACACCCTGAGGACGAGTTGGACTGATGACCAGGAACTTGTCTGTTAGAATAGGCGGCACTCTAACTGCTCTTAAGCTTATTACCCAACTGAATCATTATTGTTAATGATATTTAATTGCATATCGATGGGTCGCTAACAACTGATCATATATTGAAAAAAGCTCAAGATTGCATTTCAAGTGTAAATAATACTTCGCTAGTCTAGTACGTTACCTTTTAAATGTGATTGCACCAAATTTCTTCGGAGGATGAATGCAATAAAAACTCTGGAAACCAATGCCAGCATTTAAGTATCAAATGCGGCTAAAGACTGCAAATAATTTCAAGTAGAATTTAATGTAGAATAAATAAATTTTATGTTAAAACGATGATTATTAAGGGGTAATTATCACAATTTGCCCTAATTTCAAGTTACCTACCCTAATTACTCTGCAATACTCACAGTCCGGCCATCAACGTAGGTATTTGTGACCACCTCACTGCCGGCCAGCGTCAGGACCTGCACAAATAATATGGAAGTTAAATTAGTTTGTTATTTAAGATGAATTTCGTGAACGTACTACCAAACATCAGTAATTAATTTTAGGAAAAAATAATTATGATTGCAAACGAAGTAGAACAGAGCGTACGTTAATCAAAGAATTTGCTATATAAGAGTTGAAAAAATAATTGTAATTGATGGGATTTGGATCAAAGGAATTGGTTTATATTAATTATTCAAAGGTGCCAGAAGCCTTATATGAATATGACAGTGAGTTACGAAAATATCTTTTTTCTAAATCCTCATGAATTAGCTACATTAATAATTTAATTACAATTTCTGTCTCCTGTTGAACGCCCAAATAGTCTCAGAAAATTTTAGTACACTCAATTAATCAAAAGAAGAGCTGCAGTTATAGTAATATACAATTATATGTCGTGCGGCGATGTTGCTTCGATCGTAATGCTATGCCATGTTCTGTACGTCGCTGATGCATTATTGCCGCATCCTGTGCGTCATTCTATGGTGCCAACTGTGAGAATTTTATCATATGCTGTCTTTAATTGCATCGTGTTATGAATTAATCTCCGAGAACACCATTCATGGTACATTGAGCTTTTAATTTGAAACTGTATATCATGAAAAGTATATCGAATACTTTATTGAAATGAAGCATTTAGAATTATTGATGACTTGAAGCAAGTCTGCTGTTTTTACTGCGTCAGACGAGCTTAGATTTTTCCATATGCTTCTTTCGTCTACATTCCACAACCGAGCCTACAGAGTGTACATCAAATTCCATCCATAGCCAAAACTTGCCCTAGATTGTTCAGTAATTTGATACGAATTATTTATCAACTTGTGTTTTCAATTATGATGTTCAATATTGTTTATAATTTAAATTACTATTACAACGATGTGCGCAACTATTCATTATTTGTGTCCAGAAACCGTTGCAATTTACCGAACGAGTTCTCATTCTGTACAACCTAACATGCAAGGAGCCATATTCCTTATAAAGCTTGTATCTCTGATGACCACAACACACGCCGCTATTGAGTGTCAGGAGAGGCGGGGTGCTTGAAGGCGTTCATTTACAAGACACTCAACGAGGTCACGGCTAAAGCGATCAACTATGGCGCTGTTGTCAAGGGAGAGGCACTCAACGAGGTCACGGCTAAAGCGATCAACTATGACGCTGTTGTCAAGGGAGAGGCGGGGTGCTCGAAGGCGTTCATTTACAAGACACTCAACGAGGTCACGGCTAAAGCGATCAACTATGACGCTGTTGGCAATTTTTGAATTATGCTGCCTGTAGCGAATCAAACTGTGCTGGTGCAATAAAAAGATGTATCCGGAATTGATCTAAAATAAACCAAAAGAGTAGTCGCACTTGATAACGCAATTCATGATTTTGTAATTATAAACCCTATTCAGAATGGCGTATTCATGAGTACTTCATTTAAACAAACCGAGGATTGCCTTGCGGTGCACTCAAACAGAACTTACCGCCAAGATGGCGCCGGCCAAGAAGAAGACTTCGACGACCCCCATTTGAGAGACGATCGCTGTGATGGGAGATCACACTGACAGATCTGTGATGTCTATGCAATATATTGAACTCTTAGCTGCCGTTATAGCACGGCTATCAATTGCACTGGAGTTTCTACACAGCACTGGGTACAATTAAACAAAAACTATGATTTAGTTCAATATGATTAATTACGGGTCATATAAGCTTCCTTAACGCTTGCTCTGTGCCTTAATTCTGAGTGACGTATAAGGTAGCCCCAACCTGAACATTTGATGATAAACTAATCTCACCCCTGCCACTTCACTTCAAGAATTTTCAGCAGTTCATTGCTTGACTCCATGATAGCAACTCCCGGGGTGCTATTGTGTTATCTAGGATTGATGGTATTTTTGCCATCTTGCTTTTTCGTTAAAGAAAAATTGTGTTAACCATGGTTTGACTCGTGTTTTCGTTTGCCATTCGAATCCTGCTTCGTATCAGCCGTTCCAGAGCTGAGGGTTAACGGCCTTTAGTTAAACTGGCCTTTCCAGATAGTGCTGCTCAGCATATGCAGAATAATAATCATCTTGATTGCGAGCTCCGGGAAATAGATTTTACAGAGCTTACGGTGTAAATCTCAATTTGAGTTCTCCTAGGACGCAACTGAAGACACTGATCGCTAAAATTTTCTTCTGTCCTATCTCAAAATTTAGCCGAAAGAATGCAATTCAAGAATGAGAGTTGAGTTGCATAAATGCCAACGCTCATTAAAGCATATGTAAGTCAACCAAAAAGAAACTAAATTAATTTATCACTACCGTTTATTCGAGACTTTAGAATACAATAGTAAAATTAGTCAATATGGAGAACCTGTACATGAACTTTACTGAACTCGCGTAGGTTATCACTGCATTCAGTCACTGGGCTCCTCTGTCTGATGGGCCGCTGCTTGCGCTGCTGCTTAAGTCGTCAGGGCAGGGACAAGGCTTCACTGTACTTGAAGGACAGGTAATTAACAGATAATTAAAAATAAAGCTTACAGTAGTTGATTGTAGATTGCTACGCAATAATTAATGCGATAAGGGTATACTCCAACAGAATGAAGATTATAAATCAACTCATATTTTGAAAAATATCAATGTGCAGATAAAAATTTCATATAAAGTCTTCACTGACTATTAGCCATTATATGGTTACAATTAGCACTAAGCCGGTACCACGCAGAAATAACATGAAGCCGAAAATAGTTAACCAGGATGACGAAAATTGGCATGAAGCCAATGAAAGCTGGCTGGGACTTAATCTAATGATGTAATAGATTATTGTGTCAAGTTGTCTCATATTTGTCGTCTCTGATACGTCGTTAAGCAGGTAATGCAAACATGTGACCCAGCGGATGCGTTGTTATGGATACACAATAACAACTTTGGCTACCAGGCCACTCGGCGTCAATAACTGATTCAACTATTCAGAGGTGTATTTGCGTATCCGCATAATCCAGAAATAATATATTTAACGAGAAAAATCTTCTATGTTGGCGCAACTCTTGAATGATAACCCAGCTACGTCGTTCGCATCTAACGTAATAGCAGGAGGCTTACAAGAACAATACTCCTCTAACATAAAGCGCAACACTGACATCCGGTCACCCTGAGCGATCGGAGCGTTATGGACGGGGCCTCCGCCCAAAGCTTGGAAGTGATGCGCATTGACATGCAAATTGTTTTACTTGGTCCACGGTTGCCAGCCAATTAACGTACACAACTTCTTGACAACGCTATTGAACAGTGAATCTACTGCAGAAATCGCTCCGATGAACATTGTATATATCGGTTGTAATAATTTTTTCGACGAAAAAAGTGAATATCGGTCACTACAATTTTTTTCCTTAGAGATGTAAAACACTTAAGCGACCAGATACTACCAATTAGATTCTGGATTAAAACAACGAATGCCACCAAATGTAGGTATCGTCATTCTTAAAGCTAAAATGCAGATTGCTTTCGATTTAGCTTCAGCTGTATCATCTGGATTCATTGCTTCCTTCCAAAAATTGGCTATGCATATATAGGTACAGATACGACGTTGGACATCAGGCATAGTTTATAATTAAATGTTTATTTTTTGTATATTTTATCCTGCTTAAGATAATGTTTATTTTGTAAATAAACCTATAATTAAAATATTAACCTAGGTCCTAGGCAATCAAAAAGTAGCAATAAAACGCTGGTCGAAAATTTCAACGATAGATCGGCCCTTCAGCGGCTAAAGCGCTGAATGCCTGCACACTTAGCCCCATTTCTCCATGCATGTTCTCTCTCCATGCATTACCTTTAAACCATTCGCTTACACCCCATTCCTCCCGCTATCCGTCTATGTTTCTCTCTACCCGATTACGGAAATTCGAGTCAATCCTTAACCACTGTGAGTACCTCTGACGACAAGTTGGAGAAGCCACTAACTACAAATATTAGACGAAAATTTGTATGATTCTTGTAGCGAATTTTTATCGAACTATGTGTATCAGCCAGCGCCTAGTATAAATTCATTACTTTTCCTATACGAATACAGCTTCTTTATCCCATTCATACGTCACGTCCATTTCACATCCTCTTTCATTTCTAATTCACGTCTTATTGATCGGTCAATCACAACTCAGATCACCACCGGCACTATACCCTCATGAACCCGATTTATCAGTTCAACATTACTGTGAATAGTAGAAGCGATGCCAAATCTACTGCTAAAAAGATTTAGCGATGCAAAATCTCAAAATAATCTCATTGAAAAATGTACCGTGATCGAGCTTTACTGCAACATCAGGTTTTCCATCACGGTTCGTATGTGAGTCTAGGTTTCTTATTCATCAGATTGAAAAATGTATTCAAGGTTATGTGAGTTTGGATCATGTGCGTCAAGCAGAGCGTTACTAATTGATAGTTATTATCAGTGGCAAATGCAGTGCGTGCAGCACGAACTCTCATAGTTTAAATTAAAAAAATTATTATTATTTATTAGAAAGATTTAATTAGAGTAAATTATTAGACTCCATCAATCCAAGCGTGAACACTCGTTTGTTATTAGCTGCACGAAGGCATCGATTAACTCGTATCAGAACGTCAGTCGGAGCGAGATCAATCACAGGGAGTCATAGTTACCTGCCGTGATGATGATAACAGTAAGCAAATGTGATCCGCCTTGCACATAAAAATTATTCCCCAATTCTAAAAACACCAAAATGCGCAGCTTCATGTTTTAACTTATTCTGATATCATGAATGGAATATCATACTAAACATTTTACATGGAATAGTTAACAAAGGAGAAATTTTGAAGATTCAACTTCTCAAAAACATCACAGGAGGCAGAAGTTAAAGTGGTGATTCATCCGCGGCTTTTTTTTCGTGAAGAAAAAAATAAATAAGTGAATAAATAAACTGAATAAATAAAACAGAAGAAATTCGTTCATATTTATTATTCTTTAGCATGAATACATGAATAAATTGAAACGAATTGCCTATAAATCATTTTGTGATGCATGCATGACTAAAACAGGTGTGAAAAAACGAACGATTTCGGGTCCTACATAATTACCAGCGCAGCAGTGAATGAGACGGAACAGTTGTCTTTTTGAATACATCAAGGCCAGCTTCACCTGCTCATGTTTGAAGCAACACTTGCGTCCGCTTCACTTCATGCGTGCGGTATGCATGTTTTACATGGTCGCTCGTAGGGGGTAGTAGTACCCCGGTGAAGAATATATTTAGCGTGTGTCGGAGGCCAGCTTGGCCAAACTTCACACTTGATTCACATTTGTTTCCGTAGACAGGAATGTTAGAGGGCATAACAGCCTATGAAGTCAAACGCTCGAAGCCATAGCGCCGCGGATGTGAAAAGAGCCACATGATAAGCTTGCTAGAGGTAAGCCTGGTTACACTGTAATTGGCCAAACCTTTTCCGGCCTAACCCTCAAGCCTAACCTACACAATTTGCAACATTTCTCCACCCAAAACAAATCTGAGCGGTCCTAACCCAGCCTCATTGGCTGTAGGAAGTTAGAAAGGAGGTCCAAGTGTGCTGGTGGAGCCAGTCAGTGGCTGCAAGAAAGTTGTGAGCCGGGACAGCGTGAATAGGTTAGGCAAGAAAAGGTTAGGCCGGAGTTGGTACAGCCGGATGAGGACCTGCCTACTTATGAGCGAGCATGCCCAAGCATTGGCTGAAGACCTACGGCGCTATTATCTTTCGGCAGTGTGCCGCTTGTCTGGATTACGGAGTTCAAGCGTAGTCTGCGGTTTCTAGCTCTGAGGCTGAGTAAAGTTAATGCATGGTGTAGTTTGGTCTTGGCTCCAGGGCTTATTTAAGAGTAAAATTTGTTGCCTATGGCTGCGCTGCAGAATATATTTGCTTGCCGGTTAGTAGTTGCGCTCACCACCGACAAAGTGAAATTGTGGTGAGGTTTTGTAGCTGTATATGAATATAGGATTGATATACAATGTCTAACAAAAATTTCAAGTGACATTTTGATTGACTTTAAATCCGCTTCAAATTAACATAATTTTAATGTAATTTATTATTTTATAGTTAGAATAGATTATTGTGAAAAACTTATATTTCAAAAATTAGATAAAATTGAATATGTTAATTTAAAGTGGCGATATCAAATAAAAAGTCGGGGACATTTTTGTGGGACACCCTGTGTTATTGTAGAGTTTGCGGTCATTTTATTAGATTTTTGTGAGAATTTGTGAATACTATTTGCAGATGACAAAACATGTATACCCATCACTCCAATCGCACCTCAGCCGGATTGACTCTGGCGTCACGAAGTCGGCAATTTCAACAGATATATTTCAGTGTCCACAATATACCTGAATTTCAACAGATGATATCTTCAGTGTCCACAATATACCTGAATTTTAACAGATGATAACTTCAGGGTCCACAATATACCTGAATTTCAACAGATGATATCTTCAGTGTCCACAATATACCTGAATTTCAACAGATGATATCTTTAGTTTCCACAATATACCTGAATTTCAGCTAATAATATCTTCAGTGTCCACAATATACCTGAATTTCAACTGATAATATCTTCAGTGTCCACAATATACCTGAATTTCAACTGATAA